AGCTCAAATAAGAGAAATTCCAGGGAGGATGAGCCTATCTCCCCTCCCCTCTCGAACTGTGCTCTTGAATAGGGTAGCCACTAGTCTCATATGGCTATGCAAATTTAAGTTAACTAAAATTTAATGCAACTAAGAATTTAGTCCCTCAGTTGCAGTAGCTACAGTTTAGTTCTTAAGGCCATGTGTGGTTTGTGGCTACCATATTGGACAACCCAGATGTAGGACAGGGCCATCCCCGCAGAAGGTTCTGCGGGACTGTGTGGCTTTGTAGCGTTGCAGAGACCCTAGGATTAAATCCTCTCTTGTCCTTCAGTGTCCTGTTCCCTTACCATGTCATCTTGCTTGTGTGTCTGCCCTAGAGTGCAAGTCATTGAGGGCAGGACTATGTTGGTTTTGGTCTGCTTCCCATGCCTTCTGTAGTGCTGGGTTCTTCACAGTATTCTCTTGTTGAGTACAAAAGTAGATGAATGGGTGGCTAAATAAGTAATGTTTGTGGACCCACAGTAATCCCCCTGGGGCCCTGGAGGTTTTGATAGGATAACTATGAGGTCATAGTCATCCTACCCAAACTTCATTTTATAGAACTCATTGCCTTTTTTTTTTTAAAAAAACACAAACACACACAGTTCCTAAAACAGATGAAAAAAAGACACCACAGTTGATTGAAGATGGTCTTTAGCAAGGGCTCTATGCTGTCTCAGAACTTTTTTACTTGGTCTCAGGGATCAGTAATTTCTAGCTGGGACCTTTTGGGAACTCTTCTGATGCTGGAAGGATGTCCATGTGTGAGGCAGGTGGGGCTTCTTCTGAAGCTCTTTAACCTGTCTGCTGTAGACAGAGTGTTCCCCTAGTTATTAAGCTGGTTTCTGGCATCTATTTGGCGCCTATGTTGGTCCAGAGAAGGCTGTTTCCAAACCAAATTTATGGCCTGTAGTTCAATGCCATGGTGACGCCTGCAGCTGTCATCCCCTATGAGCTGAGGGGGAGACAACAGGGTAACCTCCTGGAGTATGAAAAGAAACTGTCTTTTTTGATTCCTGTTTGTTTGTTTTTAAGGTGAACAAGACCTCTACGAGGAGCTCCTGATAGTAGGCTTAAAGTGGGCAGGGCTGTCCTATCTAGATCTTCAGGTTAGTGTCTGGCACACAGTAGGTTCTTGACGAACAGTTTCTGATTTTGTGAATCAGTTTTGCAATTGAGCCAGAGCTGTTTTTAGCAGTGTTTCTCTGGCATAATGAATGGCAGTGTGGGTTAGTGGTTAGAAGCATGATCTGGAGCCAGGCCTTGGGTATCATCCCAGCATGGACATGTACACACTGTGTAATCTTGGAGAAGTTGCCTAACTCCTCTCGGCTTTAGTTTTTATCTGCAAAATGAAGATCGTAACATACCCTGCTTCAGAGGGTGATTATGAAGATTACATTGTTGGCATATTATAAGTAATATATAATTATCAGCTTTTATTATTATTACTCTTTAGACTTCAGGTCTGGCTACCAGATCCCTGTGACCAAGGATGGGTCCCTTGGTTTTCCCAGGCGTTGGAAGGTACATATATTTCCATCCTCGTGTGTTCATGAAAACAGAGGGCATGTTGTTCCTCGGCTCCTGCTGATTCACATGGCAAAATTACCTAACAAATAGGTCTTAAGAATCAGTGTGTTATTTCACATAAGTAGCCCTGACTTCCACGGACAAGGAGCGAGTGGTGTGACGACAGCAGTGCCCTAACCTGCTCTTGGCCAGCCTTGCGCGTGAGGACATGGATCCTGCCGTCTGGCCTGGCGTCTGCTGCTCACCAGGGAGAATGACGGAGCCAGGTCTGGCTGCATTCTAGGTGGCAGACAGATTAGGAATGGGACTCAGAGAGCCATACTGAGGGAGGAAGGGAGGCCAGCTTTGCTGTTGGCAGCCTCCTGTGTCCTGTGCCGCGTTCAGCTGGACCTTTGGGTCCCACGCTTTCCCTGGTGCGCAGTTGGTTGGAGGCTGGGGGCTCTAGTGGCAGAGGGGCCAGGGTCCCGCTCAGCCTCAAGATAACTTAAGTTCTGGGGTGGAGCTAAGGCAGGAAGCCGTGCCCACTGCTGCCCACCGTGTAACTCGGGAGGGAGGGGGAAAGCTCAGAGCATGAGCGTGGAGAAGAGGCCCAGGGATCCCCGGGTGGCAGGAGCCTGGGAGGCCAGTCCTGTCATCTGCACCAGCCTGTCACCTGGTTCTGAGCTAGTGCCACGTGGGAAATGCCATGGCAGGGATGCTGCATCGCACAAGAATGGAGCGCCCAGCGTTGCTCCAATGCTGGGGACGCTTCACAGGCAGAACAGACAGTATCCTTGTGATGTGGGCCTCTGAGTTGGTGCTTCCATTGTTCCTCAAAGCACACAATCAATGCATCACACAAACTGTGTTAAGAGCCGTGAAGGAAAAGTGGGGTGTGAGAGGTTATTACAGGGGGAACATCCTCACCTGTGAGAGTTAGGGAAGACCTCCCAGAGGAGAGGACGTGAGCTGAGGTCTGTAGCAGGGATGGGAGAGCAGGGAGCAGGAGCAGTGTGTCCAAAGGCCCGGAGGTGGAACCAGTGTGGCTCTGGGGAAAACGCAGGCCGGTGCCTGACCAGCACAAGCAAGGAGGGGACAGAGCAGGAAGTGCTGAGGCCAGAGAGGGGCCCTGGGGTCAGATTTCTACAGGACAGAAAACCACGTGAAGGTCCCCAAGGGCAGTGGGACACCTTAGGTTTTAAGCAGGGGCAACCTGAGGGGAATTGAGGCTGGGGGTTGTGTGCCCCCTCCTGCTGTCCTATCAGCTCATCCCTCCTCTGTGTGCCTGCCTGGGAGGCGGCAGGCTTCCTCTGGACGTGACTCGATATATTATTGATCTTTATCTGGGAACACTAGGCTCTGTCATGAAACACTCCCAGGACATTTCCTTTTGGGCTCTGGGCAAGACTTAGGTTGAACCTGTGAGTGTGGAGCTCAGGGTCTCTGAAGGGAGAGCCACAGTGCACCGTTCCCCTGATGAAGCCTGTGCAGTGCTGTCAGCCCTCAGCTCTTCCTCCCTGTGCTGAGCAGCCAGC